GAAATAGTTATAAATTCGATATTGGTGTTTTGGAAATTGAATTCTGTGGCCAACCATTTTAAGAAGCTTCTTACTGTCAGTCTTTCAACCCTACCAGGTTTAAGTCCTGATATCTGAATATGAATGCCACGCTACTTAAAGATCCATTTTCCCTGAATGGTTTTCTCTACTGTTTTAACTGTATTAAGAACAAGCGTTTTGCCTATTTTTAACACGTAATTATCATAATACTGGTACTGAAAACTAAAAAAGATTGCGGATCAATGGATTTCAGAGGCCTGTTCGACTAATATTTGTTTTGTTGTATTATTGGTTCTTAGGAGAAATATTGGGAAACACACCTGGGGAATCTGTTCCTTGATGAAGCCAATGTTTTTATCGAGGGCCTTGGAGGGTTATGAGAGGTGACGTGCCTCCATTCATCAAGAACGAATAGCTAAAAGCAGCCACCACTTAGCTATGGGTGCTTGGTTATCATTTGTACATTTCGAAGATATATATGCTTATGCATCGCCGTATTTGTGGCTGCCTTTTCGAGAAAAAATGCAATAGTTTTTTTTTTCTTTTCTTAATTCTTACTAGGATAACTTCGACCCTTCATGGGACGGACACCATCTTTGCTGGTCTGTGTTTGCTTTTTTTGTTCTGCGTCTGGATTGAATAGTGAATACTAGAAGCTTATATTTGTAACATTCGAAATTGAATAGATCTTCGGTCAAGCTCAACTATCTTGGAAACAATGCTAGCAAACACACTTGACATATGCAGGGATGAATGGATGGATGGATGGATGAATGCCTATGAATATGAATATATGCTCAAGGCATCTCAAACCAACTGAATGCACCTACATTCAGAATCCTCTTCAATAAATAAATTCACCAATGGCGATAAATATTGTTTCTTTCTACGATCCAATTGATGGACGCTCGATATGCAATCAAAATTTCAGTACGAACGTTTCATTTTCATACAACTTGTAAGGCATAATCAATCAGTCTTTGGTTATCTGCTATTTCATACAACTCAGAATGCTCTACCAGAGATGAAATATACATCAAACTCGCATGAACTACTTCAAAACGAACACCAATCCAAGACAAAATAATTGCACAACGGAAGCAAAAAA